TTGTGTTTCCGGTTCCTTCTAATGTCTTTGACTTTCTGTTTCACTCCCAGTAGCCCATTCCATCTTTGTGGAATTCTCACCTTGCTTGAGTTGAATTGATTAAAAATAAGCAGGTTGTTACGGAATGAAGTTGCTAATCCCATCCAAGCGATTTTGAACTTAAAGTTGTCCTTCCTCTAGACTAGATGCCAACTGCTATTGAAGAGCCCAGTCCGTCCGTCTATTTAACCCATAGAGGATTTCTGCTATCTACTTGCGTTTATTTATTGCACGAGAAAAAAAATCCCTTCTATCTCCCATCTCAAAATCTGTTATCAGGAAACAAGGGATAAACCTCTACTCCTGTTCAACAGACTGGTTTGAACCAGACGATAGGCAAACCTATCTACTCCTATAAGGGAAAAAATAAATAATAAATAAAATCTTCAGTAGATTTGTCTCAGTTCTCCGTAAATTGTGCTAGCATTCTGGTGAACCGACTCTGCGATCTTTACGTTGGCTGACAAATACGAGCACACGTGCTCGCATGAAAATTTGCCTGGAACTCGGTAAATCTGCTACTGCGACCTTGTAAACGGTTCATCATTATTTAACTCGAATCCTAGCTTACACAGAAGCAGTTTCCTTAATGGAAAAGGGAATACACGTTCGATTCCTGTCGGGAGGCAGAATTTTTCTTTTGTCATATTTCTTGAACTACGCTGGTTGTTAAGAATTTCACCGTTTAAGAAAATAAAATTAAAAAAAAAAAACAGGGAAAGCAACTCATTATTGTGTGATAATAATAATAATAATAATAATGATAATAATAATAATGATAATAATAATAATAAATAAATATATGTGTGTGTGTGTGTGTGTGTGTGTGTGTGTGTGTGTGTGTGTGTGTGTTGGTAGGTAACAGGTTTTCGAAATTCTTCCTCAGAATAAAAGGATGAAGAAAATGGTAGAGGAAACCCTGAATTAGAAATTGGTGTCAAATTATTTAAATGTTTGACGTGCATACAATTATAAAACCTTTAAGATGATATGACATTCAGTGGTTCCCAGACAGAGCGATGCATCTCATAGGCGCGGCGAAAAAGAATAGTTGGTTAGGTGGGAATAAGTGAAAGACAATCAAAGATTTACAAACAGTTTCAAAAAATACATATGCCAAAAATAAATATGATTTCAAAATTTAAAATATTATTATGGATTACTTGTAAGTGCAAGGACGTGTTCAGGTATAAATAGTTATAAATAATTAGCGACCGATTTTATCTCTGTGATATTTTTGCATTATATCAAGTATTAAGAATATAGTAACTAGGCTCCGCAAATTGGAGGAGAGAGTTATCAATGATAATGTTCTGATTTCGAATCCGCTGTTATCTCCCTTTAACCCCCTCTCTGTTTTTTTTTTCTAATTTTTAAATGTACTTTTTATCAGATAAAATTTCGTGAGGCGCGAGCAAATTCTCATTCCGAAAATGCGTCCTAGAGAAAAAAAAAAAGGTTTGGAAACCACTGCTCAAAGTAGAAAGAAAAAAACAAGAATTTTTGGTCCGCAAGGAGTGACGCAGAAAATCTTCACCCCATCTCACTCCTCGCTTGCCAAAGATGTTTTGCCACATTTCAAACTAACCTCCACTGACAACTGGAAATTGATATACTTTGGTTTGCCCTGCTCTCTGATGGTCTGAGGATTCTGAACTTTAACGACAAGATCCTGAAAAAAAATTAAGAATGGTTTGAATATTTCAATTGATGTAGTTTAATTATAATTTTGCTTACATCTTATTATTGTTGCTTTTTATCGCAACATTCAACTCGTTTTTACCTTCCACAACACAACGCCATGACCGCCGAGACTGTAGAATACGCCGACTGCAGCTCTACAGAGGATGTAATCCCCGCCCCCAATGAGTAGTCCTGCGTATGCCGATAAACTACACCCGGCAGCAAGGCCTCTGGTCGAGAGATTGGAAGATTGGAGAAGCGGGAAACCACCTCTTTATTCCTATTCTTCCCAGATCCACCCTGACCAATGGTGGACCTGGGAACAATAACATTTTTTTAATAAAAAATTACCAACAATACATTCTTATAGTAAAATGACCAACAATACATTTTTATTATAAAATTACCAACAATATATTTTTGTAGTGAAATTACCAACAATAAAATTTCATAAAAAAGTACAATACAGGAACTATATATCTAAAAAAAATGCATTTACCCTGAAACTATAAAATTATGTACAAAATATCTGTAGTTAAAGACATACAATTGCGTACACAATATTTAGATTGCGTCATTAAATAACCCATAGAGTTGTCGATGTGCCGCTAAACAAAATCAATCAAACTAAGCCAACCATTCCACAGCACAGGCACGGCATTATAAAACAAAAAATGTTTTCAGATGTGCTGGACAATGATCCTGCTTTCCATCCCGAGGCCAATGTACTGATGATGAATAGGGCAATGCTGAGGACATAGGTATTCATAGTTAAGATAAAAATGATCTTGAATTGAAAATCAGTACCCTTTATCTACCAAGAAATGAGACTCAAGATAAACTTGAATCAGAATCTATGATCTGGAAATGGAATGAAAGCAATGATGGTACCTATTCTGAATCCATCATAAAAATGCAGTATATGGAATTAGTAATTACTGAGCACTTCAGATATCTTTGTTTATGGATCAGTTACAATAAAATAAGTATAGGAGAAAAATAAATAGAATAGGCTGTGTTGAAATTACCAACAATATATTTTGATAAAAAAAAATGCAATACATTTTATCATCTACAAACTATACAACTGAAACTATAAAATCATATGAGAACCATTGTTTCAACGTGATATGGCCTTAAGCCTTCCGAAGGAAAATCTTCCAAGAAATGGGACTCAAGATAAACTTGAATCAGAATCTATGATCTGGAATTGGAATGAAAGCAACGATGGCACCTATTCTGAATCTATCATAAACATTTGTAGATAGCGATTGACATTGCATTTAAATTTTTGAAGATCGAAGTAGGCCGGAAACAATGGAGACGGAAAGGAATTCCACAGGCGAGAAAAGAAGCTGTTAGCATAGAATTTACGGTTTACATCTTGCCAACTTAACTGTAAATTGATGAGATCTCCACGCCAGTCTAGTATTGCGCTTAAATTTAAAAAAAATAGTCTAGGTACAATAACGAAGAGTTTATCCAAAGAATTATTATGAAAGTATGGAAAAGGAAAAGGGCGGCGACCTTATGGCGGTGGGAAAGTGATTTATTTATATATACAGCGCAACGTCGCCTCTCGAACGTTTCACATGTCGAACAAATCGGCTTTAAAACAGAAAATTCGAGATGAAAATGCCTCGGTTATCAAGCAAAATTTCGGTTCTCGAACAACATTAGCGAACCAAGACGAACCGAGTTAACCCGAACGGAATCATTTCTTAGTCGACCGCCATCTTGTATACATTCGTGTGATGTGCTGTGCTTTTCTTTTCCAATTTTATTGTACTGTGCCTTTTTTCTCTATATTAGTCCTTAGTCATGGCTCGAAAGAAAACTAGCAGTGATGAAGGAAAAAGAAAAGTTAAGAGAAAAAAACAATTGTTGATGATATTGTCTCTTTTTACTCATTTTCTGTTGTGTCGGAAACCAACCACCCCTCTGGAAGATGAACTTGTCGGCGTCTATGAACAAAGACTTTAAATAGTGGCATGTCAGTTGACATGAAGATAGATAGACCGAGAAATTCTTAGCTGAGCTAGTTATTGACTACTCAGGCGATTTCTGTACCTATTTACCAACCTATTAAAATCCTTTTTATTGTTACGTGTTATTTGGCGTTTGTCTCTACTAACCCCAAATCAACATCATAACAGTTTCATATGACAAAATCAACAATCTATACTATTCTTATAAATAAAGAGACAATCATATCTTTCCTTTCCCTTTTCCAAACAATAACATCTCTTTCCCTCCATTTACGCCATCAATTCTCCTCCATATAGGTACGGTAAAATTGAAGTATTCATCTATATTTGATCTGTTTAGTATTGTTTTTTGTTTTGTTTTTTGTTTGTGTTGTGTTTTTTTTGTGGGGGGTTGTTTTTCTTAAATTTAATGATTTTCATTGTGTATAAACTTGTTAAAGTTTAAATAAGCAATAATCTTGGAACCAGGAACGAATTAATCCATTTTACATTTTTTACTATTGGAAAATAGTTTCGATTTACGAACATTTCGGGTTACGAACTGACTTCAGAAAAGAATTAAATTCGTGAACCGAGGTTCCACAGTAATATAATCGTATAATATATTTATTATTATTTATATTTATTATGTGTTCCCAAAATATACCAAAAAAAACCTCATCAGTTTAAACTGACGCCAGTGAAATATGAGTAAATATATGTGGTTAAAAATATTATAAGGGGCGAATTTAATGAAAATTTATCAACCAATCGGAAGAGAATGACACGTCAAGGTTTTTTATTGGACCCTCGTCTTTGTAATAGAATGCGTAAATAAAGAAATCGATATATTGGTACATTTTCCCACACTCGGCATCGTTGGCATGGAAGTTAGCGTGGCTGTCTGCAACACGCACTGACACGTATTACTCCAATGATAAACATCGAAGTGTCATTGTGCTGACATTAATGGGCCGTTTTTTATTTCACGCTTCTTATTTTAACTTTTAAAAAATCGTTAAAATAGTAACAACATAATATTGCATGGCTTTTCTGCAGAAACCCGCCACCTCTAAGAAATAATCCGGGTTTTTTGTTTTTTTTTTTTCATTTCTTTTCATATTACTTTCGAATAAGATCGCGAAAAAAAAAAACATTATTTTTTAAATGTTCGAAATTTTAAGAGTTGGTGTGGTCAAGCTTACAGAACCTGCTATACCCAAGCGGCCACCCATCTACTCACCAGCCTCGACGCTGAATAAGTGTTTCAACGTAATATGGCTATAAGCCCTTTATACCACACATTCAAGCTTACAGAACCCGCTACTACTAAGCGGTCACCCATCGTATTACTGACCAGTCTCGAGGTTGCTCAACTTCGGTGATCGTATGGGAAACGGTGTTTTAACATGATATCGTTTTAAGCCCTTTATGCCACCCGAACATTCAAGCTTACAGAACCTGCTATTCCCAAGCAGTCACCCATCTAGATATGAACTAGTCTCGACGTTGCTTAACTTCGATGATTGTACGGGAACCAGAATTTCAGCGTGATATGGTCTTAAGCCCTTTATACCACCCACACATTCAAGCTTACAGAACCTGGTATTCCTAAGCGGTCACCCATCTAGATACTGACCGGCCTCGACGTTGCTTAACTTCAATGATCGTACGGGAACCGATATTTCAACATGATATGGGCATAAGTCATTTATACCAAAAACACATTCTAGGTTACAGAACCTGGTATTCCCAAGCGGTCACCCATCTAGGTACTGACCAGTCTCGACGTTGCTTAACTTCGATGATTGTTCGGGAACCGACGTTTCGAAGTGATATGGCCGTAAGTCCTTTATACCACCAACACATTAAAATTTTCACAACCTGGTATTACGAAGCGGTCACCCATCTAGATACTGGCCGGCCTCGGCGTTGCTTAACTTCAGTGATCGTACGGGAACCGATATTTCAACATGATATGAGCATGTCATTTATACTAACAGCACATTCAAGGTTACAGAAACTGGTATTCCCAAGCGGTCACCCATCTAGGTACTGACCGGTCTCGACGTTGCTTAACTTCGATGATTGTTCGGGGACCAACGTTTCAAAGTGATATGACCGTAAGCCCTTTAGACCACCCACACATTCAAGCTTACACAACCTGATATTCCTAAGCGGTCACCCATCTAGATACTGACCGGCCTCGGCGTTGCTTAACTTCGGTGATCGTAGTGGAACCGGTGTTTTAATAACACCAAAATAAATCACTTACCTTAAGCGGGTGAATATCAGAGACAAAGACGTAGCTAAATTCTATTGCTTCTTCATCTTCAGGATTAAATGCTTCGTTACTCTGCTCCATGTTGTTAATGCACTTGATTACGGATAGGCCAACTAACAGAATATCTCGCCTGCTGTTGTTTATATAGTAACCTACCTATTTATATATGAACGCGTGCTTTATTTAGGCAATATTAAATGGACTTTTTTTTTCTATTGAAATGCGCTTTATTTTGACTATTCTGGCAAATAAAAACAATACTGTTTACTTTATTTTTCACTAGTTGAACTTTGTGCGCTATTCTGACCTGACTTAACAATTTATTTTTTTACCATTAATTTCATCGAAGAGAAATAAGGTCAAAAGCATAAACATGGATTCTAATTCCATTGTACCACTGACCGAAAAAATTTTCAAACACGATTCTGAAATTATAATACAATTAATGACATTTACGTCAAACACAGCCACCTTAAGATCGAAGATAAATAAATCTTAAAATTTTATCACATTTTTTAACCGACTTCACCCAAAGGAAGGTAATAAAGCCACTCAGACGCAAGGCGGGGGTTCACTGGTTGTGGAAGAGTTAGAAACAGGAACATTGCTAAGGCGCGAGAACAGAGAATATAGTAATCAGGAGGAGAGCAGATAGCGATTGGCATCGCCTTTAAATTTTTGCAGATTAAAATTGGCTGGAATGCAAGGAGACGGAAAAGAGTTCCACAGGCGAGAAGTGTGAGAAAAGAAACTGTTAGCATAGAATTGACGATTACATCTAACCAGCTCAACCGTAAATTGGTGAGACCTCATCACCGGTCTAGTATTTCGCTTAAATTCAAAGGGTCTAGGCACTATAGCAAAGAGCGATATTTATTCGTATGATAATACGAAATGTGGCACAAGGCCAAAATTAGGAATGAAGAAAAAGATGGTCTTCATCTATCTGAAATTTAAACTTAACTAGCCTCACTCATTGACCAAGCATACCACAATATTCCTTACAGTAAAACTCATTCTTACTTACCATTCTTAATACGTACACCATAACACCTCAATGTTTCCATGAAAATCCTAACTAGACCCCATATGTACAATTTCAAGTCTGTGGTCCGGGGGTAATAAAAAAAAACAATTTAAAAAATGTAAACCCCCAATGCGAAGTGCGATATTTATTTGTAATTCATTTGTAATTTATTTCCAAAATGTGGCACAAGGCCAGAATGACGAATGAGGAAAAGGATGGTCTACTTCTGTTAAACTTAGCCAGCCACAATCACTGACCCAAACATACAACAATATTCCTTACACCAAAACTCTTATCTTTCTTATTGCATTCACCATAATACCTCATTGTCTCTATGAAAGTCCTAACTAATCCCCGTATGTACAATTCATTGTCTGTGGGGGAGGGAAATAAAACAACAATTTAAAAATTATTGAGCATTGAGTATTTACAATATGAATCCCAATGAGAAGAGCTCATCTGAACAATTACCATGAAGGTATTTTTAAAAAAAAACAAAGGGGGATAACCTTACGACGTTATGAAAGTGACTGCAGTGACGCCATATCGGGGCCAATAATATCGCTGATTCTTCTTTGAATTTTACCAAGGAGCTGAGCTATCAGGAGTACCGGGCCATATGTAGTGGAATTATTCTAAGCATGCACGAATGGTAGACTTATAGATATGTCAGATAGACTCTGGAGAGAAAAATCTTATTTTAAATTTTTATCGTATGGATTTTGACATATGGAATTAAAAAAAAAAGGGTTTTTTTATCATTACAAATGGTTATTGACAGGGTTGTAAACTGGGAAGACATTACTATGAGAATAAAAAGAACAAGATTCAAGAAACCCTATTAAGGAGAAAAACAATAAAAGAACAAGAATTAAGAAGACCATAGATAAGTGACTTAAATTTTTGAAGATCAATGTTGACTGGGAAGCAAGAAGCTGGAAGAAAAGTGCGAGAGAAGAAACTGTAAACATAGAACTTACGGTTACATCTAGCCATTTCAACTGTAAAATGATGAGACTTTGCCACCAATCTAGTACTGCACTTAAATTCATAAAGTCTAGTTACTTTAGAGGAAAGTTCATCAGAATATTTACTATGAAAGTATTTATAGAAAAGTTATAGGGAAGCTATGTTAGGCCAGTGGAAACGGGACTGAAGCTGAGATACCAGGTCAGGACCAATATCATTGCAGATTCTTCTTTGGATTTATCAAGAATCTCTAAATATATAGCAGGAGCAGATTTGGCAGCAATATTCAAAGCAAGGATAAATGGTAGACTTATAAATATACAAGATAAATTTGAAATTAACTAAAGTAATTTTGTATTATTTTATGTAACTTCTACCAAGTTCTGATCAGTAAAACTAACACTTCCTGACGATCCACTTAGGTTAAACCTAGGTAGGTTTGTCTGGCTCTTTAGGTTTACTTATATATATATATATATATATATATATATATATTTTTCCAAAAGGATAGAATCCAGGTAGAGCTTAATGTCAAGGACAGAGCAAGAATATAATAGGTTCAAACACTAATATTCCATAGTAGTGTATGAGCTTTATTTATATATATATATATATATATATATATATATATATATATATATATATATATATATATATATATATATATATTATTTGTAGGTCTGATGAATTGGATCGTATTTACGATTCCAATGGAATAAATTATGACCATGGAATATTAGTGTTTAAGCCTTTTTATTATATCCTTACTTTGTCCTGGACATTGAGTTCTACCTGGATTCTATCCTCTTGGAATTATTTTTTATACAAATATATATGTATGTGTATGTATGTATGCATATATATTTATATATTTTAGATATATCATTGCATATGTATGTGTATATCTACCACTAATATTCTCTCTCTCTCTCTCTCTCTCTCTATATATATATATATATATATATATATATATATATATATATATATATTTTGGGACTTTGGTGAGAGTTTGAGAGAGCCTTAGGTTTCTTGTATTCTCTGTTGAGAATCTTCTTAGAGTTTGGATAAACCAATCTCATTACATCGAAGCGTCCGTACTGATTTTTGATTCAATTCCTTCTGGCTACTTGGAGGTAAATCTTCCGTCAATAAAATATATGCACTATAATAGTTTAGACTATCAACTGAATAGGTTATGACAAATTTAATGCACTTTATACGGGCATTTGGAGCTTGAAATGTTATAAAGACTTCCCTTATCAGTCAATTAAGTGTCATACGTGGTGATCATGTATCTTTCGAATGATAACTGACGAGACAGAAGATCTTTCCTGTAGCTGGTTGCCATTTCTTTGTGCGGTATATTGGTTGCCAACCGAGCCTGAAGAACCCAGTCTATCTTGCTATTCAACCCATACCTGGGGGTTGAAGAGATGGATCTATACCTTTCCCAAGGGATTTTGTGCGTAAGAGAATGTAACGAATTTGACTGGAATCCGAACTCAGCTTATAAGAAGAAAAAAGTTTTAAATTACCAGATTTTATTCTATCTGGAAAAAGTAATAAACTTGGAAAAGCATCGCTCTGAATATTGTATTATTTAATTATTCCGATAGTATACGACATTTATTTTTAATCATTTGACTCCAATCAAGCCACTATGACGCAAGAGGTTTACTGAGTGTGAAAGAATAAAAATATTACTAAGGAGAGACAATGATATAAGAACGGGAAGTATGAAGATAAAAGATAACGATTGACATTGTATTTAAATTTAAATTAAAAAAAAAAACAGGCAGGAAATTAGAATTAAAATTGGAAAATTTTATTCCATTCCGTATAAGTAATAGATACATTAAACGTGAAAAAGTATCGAATTTTATCTAATTTTTTAAAATATAAACTTGGAAAAGTACTGTTGTGTGCACTGTGTCATTTAATAATGCCGATACCAGACGACACTTTAAAAAAATAATAAAATCCGTTGAAAATAGAATTATAATTGACAAATGTTATTTAATCCCGTAAAAGTAATAAATATTATAAACTTAAAAAAGTACCGTTGTGACATATTTGACATTTAATCCGAGGCATTCAATACTTATTCAGTGATAAAAAAATAAGTGAAAAAAAAAATCCTATCATTTTTCTGAAAATGTCTAAGTACACGATGAACTGAAAAACCTGCCCTTTGACCTGAATTGTTATGTATTTTCTATTTCCACCATTGCTTAAAATCCAATATTTCGAAAGATAATTTTCCAAGATAGGCAGGGCTTCCCAGCACCAAAAGACTCGCGTTACATAGTCCTTACTTTATGACTGGTGGAATATAAAATGTCTCTTCCATTACGAACTTCTGGAACCAGGGAAGAAGCATCACTGAAAATGTTTATTACCAACAACTTGATCGGTAAAATGGCGTCCAAATTATTCTATATACTTCATCCTCACTGGATTTAGAAACTACAAATTTTCGTTTATAGTATACTGATCACTCGAACTTTTCATAAATGGTAGAACTTTTTTTTTTAATCAATTCACCCCAACCAAGACGATAATGACTCTAAGACGCAACGAACTACTGGGAAGGAATGACAGTGGGAAAATATAGAAGAAACCGGAGACCCAATCCTAAACAGGAAACAAGGGATAAACCTCTACTCCTGTCCAAAAGATCGAGAAGGAGTGTCAACGGAATGATAGATACCTACTCCTATCAAGGAAAAAAAAGAAGAAATGAAATTTCAGAGTTCAGGAAGAGACGTTAAATGTAGTGAGTTGAAGTATATTTTTAGAAAGAACCGGAAATACAAGGAAGGAAACAAGAAATAAACCTCTGAATTTGTTCAAAAGACCGGAGACGAGTGTGAACCGGACGATAGACGAAACTATCTACTTCTATTGAAAAAAAATCCTGTTCATACATACACAAACAAACAAAGAAATTGAAAACAGTTTTTCAAAAAAGATC